CAAAGTATTGTGGAGCATTTTTCCCCCCTCTGTCTTGCATTGTGTCTGAAGCTTGAGAGGTTCAAAAGTTGCGTAAACCTTTCATTTGCAAATACACCAGTAACCAAAGACACAAAGATATTAAAGATAATTTGTCTTTTTGGAAGCCTGGGGGGTTTTGGGTTTGCATTGGTTTTTTTTTTTCACTGCCTGTCTTACTTCCCAAAATCGTAACCAAACATGTTATGAGGACAGTTCTCCAAAGAATGCTACATCCGCGAACCAGGGTGCTATTATATTTTATTGCTGTCTTAGATATCCAGTAAGATTTTTTTAGAAAGCAGAGCACTAGGTATACAGAATTCAGAACTAACTAACATGGAAACTTCATGGATAGAGATGAAAACTTTGTATCTTTATGTTTTTGAGTGAATAGAAAACCTGTGCAGTTAATGCAAAGTTGAAATAAATTCTTTCAAGGTTTTAACATTTGATGGGGCAATAGGGTGCATCTGAATAGAGAGAGATGCATTTTTCTTGTTTTACTGTGTGTAAGGGGAATTACTGGTCACATCCCTTAGGACAAAATACATCCTTGAGAGCTTAACATATCTGCTGTCTCTATTTCCTGCATGATTTCTAGTCTACATACTTGCCAGTCAGTATAGTCTACATACTTACAAGTCAGTATCATGTGTCTTTGTTTATGTACAGCATTTGATACTATTTGTACACAGAGGCAGAGGTAATGTTTGTTCCAGGGATCTTGTATGGTTCATATTCTTTAAATAAGACTCCAAATACATTATCTGGAAAACATGCAAATGGCACTTGTCTTTCGCCATGGATGGCACTTTGTTACACAGTAAAATATAACTCTTTCCTGATACAGAGTTTATAGGGGAAATAATACATTTGTATATACTTTTCAATCTTTAAAGCTCTTTAAGCATTTCTCCAGATTAGAATGTGTCTGTGTCATGTACTAACTGGGTGGTTCTTGACAAACTTAATTCTATTCTGTGGAAAAGTAGAAGCACTGGTGTTCTATTTCTAAACTCGTCATCTGCCCTATATTTTCCTTTTTTGCCCTAGAAGATATTTAGAGGGATAAAATCTTTTACCAAAAGAATGTGTTTATTTTTAGATCATTTTCCAAACATACACAGTGCTACAGATCAACTTCTGTTTATTGATTTGTTGTGTCAATAATTCCATTAACTGTGCTTCATATAATTCAGAATATGCACTACTGCCCAAACATATGGTGTGGCACCAACAGCACGGGACAAGAAGGAATGAGCATGAAGAAACTAAAGTTCAGGCAGCACCTCCCTCCTGTGCTATTAAGTTACTTAGTTCCAGCGCACAGTGTTGAAGGAAACTACATAGTGTTCAAACTGATCTGACAAATTACTCTTTTAAAGAATAAATTCAGTAAAAACTTAAAGGAAGAAAATTAAATGTAAGTGTAATCCACCTCAAGCTCCATTGTGTCAATTATGAAGGATGTTTTTCTGATGAGTAAGATACTTTTTCCAGATTAAGTAGGAAAGACATATTGTGCTTTCACATGTGGTTAACTTCAAGTTTGTATCATATCTGTCATTGCTTCTGATGGTTGTTCATTTCGTATGCTGTCCAAGTGGCTGAGCTGCTTTAATGGAGGATCAACTCTTCTCTGTTTTCCTTGTATCCTAGGTAAATATTTGATGCATTCATGTCCTCTTCTCAAGTTCAACCTTCTGCCTAAACAGGCACCAAGTCACTGATAAATTGTTATGAAACCTTGACTGCATAGTCATTAATAAAACTCTTTTCACCAGCCATAAAATTTATGTATCTGATAGTCTCTCACAACTTTCTGTTACAAAATTAAGATTTAGATTGCCTGGTAAGTGCTTCCTGTTGGTGCCTGACACTGATTTTTAAATTATTTATTTAGATTTTTTTAATTTTATTTTTCTCTAGTCATCAGTAGAACTTCATAAAGTGCATCTGATTCTTAGAATTCTTTCCTTTTCAACTAGAGCCCAAGTATTGTGACATTAATGGCTTTAAGCTGAAAGAGGGTAAGTTTAGAATTAGATATTAGGAAGAAGTTCTTCACTGTGAGGGTGGTCAGACACTGGAACAGGTTGCCCAGAGAAGTTGTGGATGTCCCCTCCCTGGAAGTGTTCAAGGCCAGGCTGGATGAGGCTTTGAGCAACCTGGTCTAGTGGAAGGTGTCCCTGCTGATGGCAGGGGGTTTGGAACTAGATGATCTTTAAGGTCCCTTCCAACCCAAACCATTCTATGATTCTATGACAAGGCTGAGTGAGACTCCTTTTATAAGGCTATGAGTTACCTGTGCTTGCACAGTGAAGTATTTCCATGTGCTCAGTAAATCAGCACTTCTGTGAACTGCAGACATGCAGCTCACGCACAGACTGATGAGATTTTTCTTAAACTGTAGTTCTGGTCAAGCGCTGTGCGAGGTGGGTAGAGGGGTTGTAATGGACAACACTTTGTGCCAGTAGAAGAAGGTGGGGAGCCTGACAACCCCAAGACATTGAGCAATTTTATTAAAAATGTGGTCTGAGAGAGAAGAGGAAATACCAAGGGAGAGTATTTGGGGCTATTAGGTCTGTGACTCACTGTTTCCCATTTGTTTGTATGTACTATTTTCGTAGGCTGCCTGACTATCATTCACAGGGGTTGGTATTTCTAATCTCAGTTGTGGATTGAGAAGACAGTTGATGTGTGTTATACCAAGAGAAGAGTTAAGGCTCTATACTGTAACTGAGGGAGGTTACAATCAACAGGCCCCTTTTTGAATGGGGCATGTTCTGTGGATCTGCTGTGGATATCTTGTGGTAGACTGTCTATGAATTATTATTGTGGAGGGTGAAGCCAGGAGATCCTGGAAGGCTGAGGGTGTGGTGTGATGTGAAAGAGAAAAATACTTTTTTGTGTGTATTAAGGAAACCAGAAGAGGAAAACTGATCACCATTCCTGGGCAGCCGTCTCTCATATCCATATGTAACCTTAAAAAAATACTGAGCATACTTCACCTTTTCTCATCTTTCTTGATGTAGAATCTTGATTTTTTTTTTTAAATTTATTTTTCCCCTCTTCAACTTGGGCCCTTGATTACAAGTTTAGCAAATCTTGAGCTATGTGCCTGCAGCATCATCTACCCCAAGGGGAAATCGTGATATTTATTGATTTATTAGGGAAGCATGTAGGGAGAACCTAACCCAAGTGTGGTTTATATACATGATAGTCAGTTTGCTTTGACATGGAGCCTTGACAAGTACAGTCTGGACTTCTCTGGATCAGCACTCTTAATTTATGTTCTGGATCATTACTGTATTGGGGACATCTCAAAAAAAGAGATAGAATTATTAAATGTTTTTTCCTCAAAGGGTGAGCATTCAGGCAGCAGACAGTTTGCATTGTTGCTGTATTGGGAATCTGTGGTTATTCACCGCTCTCCTACAAATCACACTTTTAAAAAACCATCCTGTTAAGGAGTGAATTCACTAGTGAACCTGTAAGAATCACTGTACTGTTTATAATGTGGATGCAACGTTATGGTTGAACATTTTGTAGGTCCTTTAATTAGGTTACATCTCTATATTTTAATTTTTAATATTCCTGCCCTTCCCCACCCCCAAATCTTTTCCCTTTTTATTGGATAAAATAATAAATAACTATGACTTTCTAGTGAAGAGCTTTGGAATTTTGGGAAGTGTGTTTTTTCATCCAAAATAATCTTTGTGTGTGTGCATTATGCATTTAAGGAAGGTAGTAAAATTCAATTTTGCCATCATAAATTGCTATAGTAATCATATATGTAAATACTTCCACTCCACCCTTTCCCTGCTCCCCTTCTGTTCCCTTCTTTTCTTGTTCACCTCACAAAACAGTGTTTATTTCATTAGAAGTGTCTGCTTTGTTCCTTAGAATACATATGATATTACTTGAAATCAAGGACTAGGAACAGCACAGGATGCCGTTAAAACCAACGGTGAAGAAAGGCTGCTAGGGCCAAATACAGAATCCGAGGCCAGCCCACCTAGCCCCTTGTCCATTTCTTTCCCATCCTTTCCTTCTCATCTGCCCTGCCTTCCATTTTTTGCAGCTAGAGAAGCTCTTATCCTTGGCTTCTTCTGTGCCTTTGTGTGCCTTCCATTTCCTCCTCCTCTCCACCTTTGGTTTGGTCATATGTATAACTACTTGTTTTTCTGTGCTTTCCTTTTTAGTGGTGGTGGGTAGGGCTTTTTCAAAACAAATGTTAAAGGATTCTTGAATCATATAGTGTGCAGAAGCTGCTATTACTGCTTCTGTGCAGTTACAGTGAAGAGTTAAGACTCTTGTCTGGTCTTGTATATTTTTAGGCAACATTAATTCCAAATAAACTAGAAAGCAGACATCAACAAAAATAGTGAAAGCATAGTTTATACAGACACTGCTTATTTGGAGGACTCTCAGGAGAATTTACTGTTCTTATACTGTTGAGTCATTTGTGAAAAAATGGATGGATAATTTTGAGCACATTGAACACCTCATCCAAACTTCAGCATAGTCCTGTTCAATTGATTGCATATGCATTTAAACCTCAGAATTTTGAATTCCTATTACTAGCAAGCATAAATGAATACGGTGGATAGATAGAATTTCACTGGTCAAATCTATAAAAATAAATTTGCTATAATTTCCCTAATTTTCTTCTGAACAGATCTTGTTTAAAATAATTAAGATAATATTCTTCTGAAATACTGTTACCACATATTAATAATAAAATGTTTTGTATGTGCATTTTCTGGTTTCTTCTGTAAATGATCTCTGGAGGAAGCTTAGTTAAGCTGCAGTTATGCTTTGAGGGCATAATATTAAATTGCTGCTGCAAAACACGATTATGTGTGTCTTCAGTTTTCTAAGATAAATTTCTTTTCTGTTTGTGAAGTCCTGCACAGCAAATGAAACCTTTTCAAGTTTTAATTCATGTGTTTCATATTATCTTGTCCTAGGTTGTTGGAAGAGGAGCCTTTGGTGTGGTCTGCAAGGCAAAATGGCGAGCTAAAGATGTAGCCATTAAACAAATAGAAAGTGAATCTGAAAGAAAAGCCTTCATTGTAGAGGTACAGTAATTTTGCTGGAAAACATGAGGTTTGGTAAAGCTTTTTTTTCTTAAATTCATGGGTGTATTTAGTGTACTAAAAGCTATGTCTATATTACAAGACACATTCTGGTTTTTGGAACTTCTGAAGTGTACAGAAAAAAATAACAGTAGCCCCGCAGGTGATGAACAGCATATCCTGTTAATCAGTGTAAAATTATTTTTTCCTTTTCCTCTACTGCCTACTGGGAAAGAAAAATTCAATGCAAATTGAATTGTCTGGTCATCAGTTAGTACAAGCAGCAGTAGGTCACATTAATATTAAACTGGCCATCCTATTTTATAGGATTGTGGGGATTTTTGGTTGATGGGGAGGGAGGTGTTGGGGTTTTTTGTTGGTTTTTTTTAAGAACAGTAATTTTCTATATTGTTAATAAAGCAAACATGATTCAGATTGCTTATGAAGTCAGACAATCAGGATTCCAAAATTGGAGGCTCCAGGAAGAGGTCATAGTTGCATAGTGTTTGATTTAAGTGATTTTACTACACCATGAAAAAGCCTTTACTTTAAATTTAATTTCTTTAAAATTCCATTTAAATACAGTTCCAGTTAGACACAAACCTAATTACATAAATTAAAATGCAGACAGGGATATCAGTCTTGTAATTCCTAAAAATCCCTATTTAGGGTTATGCAGATACATAGAACTGCAGTTGCTGTTGTGGTGTATGAATTAGAGATGTGAAAATAAAACATTAGCCTTTTTTTTCCATGGTTTGAAATTAAGTCTGATTTTTATTGCAGCTTCGACAACTATCACGAGTAAACCATCCCAATATTGTCAAGTTATATGGAGCCTGTCTAAACCCAGTAAGTTACAGCTTTGTCAGTATGACAAAAGGTGCAAGCATCAGTGCATAAAATGTGTATTTTATTTTCAAAAAAATATATTTTATGTATATTTTGAATGTTTTAGCCATAATAGGGAAATACACGGGTATGTGGGTTAGTTGATATTTTTGTTTTTTCTTTCCCTTGTTATAAGAAATAAATTATTTCAGGAAAACCTCAAATCCTGTTTTTAAACACCAGTTATGCTTCAGTTTGTCAGAATGGCATCTGGTGTATTACATATGTGGTGTCATTCATATCTACAGTCCTATTAATTGCAAATCAGTAATACAAAAAAGAAAATACATTAGCAACACGTGATTCATAACTTGTAAATCACTTCCTATTCTCATTTATGCAATTTTCACAATTTCCTTTCTTTCTGCCACAGCTGCAAACAGTCCTACAAATTCTTAAAGCAGAAAAGCAAGTACTGTGACAGGGCAGATGTATCCTTAGCTAATTCTAGTATGGGCTATTTAATTGGATAAAATAGTGCTACATCCCTGTGATAGTTCCACTGGGCTAGTCCTTGGCTAGCAGCCAACACAGCCGTTCACCTACTTCCCCCGACACCCAGGGGATAGGGGAGAGGATTGGGGGCAAGGATTAGGAGGCTTGTAGTTTGAGATAAGAACAGTTTAATAATAGAAATAAAAGAAAACTTTAAAAAGCCTAATATTAAAATAGTAGTTATAATGATAACAGTAATAAAATATACAAATGAGTGATAACGCAGCAGTGTAACTGCTCACCACCCACCAACTAAGTCCAGCCCATTCCCAGATAACAATCCTGGAGGAGGAGCAACAATCCCGAACCGAAACCACAATCTCGAAGAGCAAGAGCCCCAGCAAAAGCCAGAGAGAATGCCCCCCTTTCTGGTCAGCCCTGGATAACATACTGACATGACGTGACATGACATGGAATATCTCATTGGCACATCCAAATGCCAATTCTGGGTTTTGCTATTCACTGCCCTTTTCCCTCCCAGTCCTAATGCAGCTGTGAACCAGCCAAACACGGTGGCCTTGAGCTCCAGCAGCAACTGTATTACATACATAAGTACTTTTATCAATGTTCTTCTCATAACAAGTCTCACAATGAAACCAAAACACGGCTGTTCTAACTAAGAAGAAAATTAACTCTATCCTAGCAAAACCAGGACAATCCCTTTTTCCTTAGTATTAGTGAAGTTCTTTTGACATGGTGTTTAAAATTTTTGTGAGCCACTAAAAAAAAGGTAAAGGCATATGGGATGCAGTTTGAAGACAGCATTTGCTTTTCAAGGTTGGCAAGGGGGAGACCATTCTCTTCTTTGCTAACTTACAGTGGGAACTAAATATAAAACTGATTTCTGTTTCTTATACATAAATATATACCATTCAAACTGACTTTTTACATCCTAGATAAATTTTCCATTAGCTTAGGTAAGAAGACTTTGCAGTTCCTCTCAAAGAACTTTATTTTCAGTTTACAAAAGCTGTTTTCTGCACCTAGGTTTAAAACATCACTATTTTTTGTCCCCTCCCCCCAAAGGTGTGTCTTGTTATGGAGTATGCTGAAGGAGGTTCTCTGTACAATGGTGAGTATCATTTCAACATAGTGTCTTTCTAGAGCTGAAGTACTAGTGTTAGGGCAAACATGATCTAAAATATAAAGTTGTTTCATACATATGTCTCCATCCTTGGAGACACTCAGAAGCTATCTGGACAGAGTCCCAGGCAACTGGCTCTAGGTGGCCTGCTTGACCCTCCTTGGTGGACCTCCAGAGGGCCCTTCCAACCCTAAACATTCCACAGTGCTTTGAAATAATTTTAAGGAGAAGGAGTGTACTTTTAAAAACCACTCTTGAGTCTACTGGTTTGTTTCTTCATATCAGTTTGTTGTGTTTTTATAGAAGTCATTAAAAGTTTTCTAGTGGAACGTCTGAAAAGGTTCTCCCTGAAGTGGTAAATTCTCTGAGCATTTGTTTAACATGGACTTTACCAGGGATAGCTGAGAACAAGCAACACCTTTCATATTGAATTTTAACATTAAAAAATATTAAAAACCTTCAAAAAAAATGGAAAATAGTTTGACATTTCCATTATTTTAACAATCTGCAGAAGGGTATTTTCAGTTGTAGTGATGAGGCATTGATAATTACTTGGATTCCATAGAGCTTTCTGACTGGTATGTTGTTAACTCTGTTGTATCTGTTGTAATATGCAATAAAGTTCTTTTTAGTTTGTGCCTTTGTTTTGCAGTCCTGCATGGTGCTGAACCTCTGCCTCATTATACTGCTGCACATGCCATGAGTTGGTGTTTACAGTGTTCCCAAGGAGTGGCATATCTCCACAGTATGAAACCAAAGGCTTTAATCCACAGAGACCTGAAACCACCAAAGTAGGTTTATGGCTCATATTTCAACTTTCTTACAATTGGAATTTAAGATCTTTTATAAAAATTTCATTGCATTTGAAAGAAATGCCTTTAATTGATACTAACTTTATTGGATGTACTATATTCTAAATGAAAGCTGTGCATTTGAAACTTCAGTTGCAGAATGATGGTGCATGGTAAAGAAAATGAACTGTACTCAGTTACTTTCTGTTAAACTGGAAAACCATCCTGTTCTGCATCATGGAAGAGGATTTTGATAGGGAATAGGGCTTCTAATCAGGGGCATTTAAAATGGCCCAGTTTTACAATGGATTGTGGCGTTCAATAAGAGAACGTTATATGGGAGGATTGTTTGGTTGCTTGGTTTTAACATCATATTTAATCTGATCTGTTGGAGCTCTTTTCCCACATAGCCATTCTCCTCTGTCCCCTCCTTCTGCCTGTTCCACTACCCCTGCCAGAATCTCCCATCACTTTCCACTGAAACAAAAATGACTAGTTTTCTGTCTGGTCAGTTGTTGATCTGACTCATTTTATAACTTCAGATCTAGCTCCACAGATTGGGTGGAAACAGAGATTTGGGGATCAGTAGGATCACTCCCTTTTGATGGTAGCCTGCAGTTATTACCCGATAAAATTATACTTTGAAGCCACACTTTAAATCTTGAATTCTTTCTTATATCTCCAGTTTTGATTTCAAGAGCTGTTAACATGTAACTTAGAGTGCTTTCATTTAAATAAATAGCTACATTGACTGACATTAATGGGAATCTTGATCGTTCCTCTTCTGGTAAAACTGTTATAGCAACAATTGTTTTTTCAGCCTCTGGCATCTGAAAGACTTGATTTTGTCAATATATGCTTAATGGTTTACTATGGCTAAAGATATTTATTTAAAATCTAGTATGTAGAAATATTAATAAATTACAATATATATTTGATTATTTTAAAATATTTAATATGTTCAGATTAGACACAAGTGGCCTTACTTATTTCTCAAATTATAAAACTAAAGTGCTGAGAAGCAAAGCTTTAGATATTCAACTATATTAGAATGATAGTTGTTGAGATTAAAAAAAATCAGGCATTTATTACCAGACTATTTCATGCTACAATGGTTTTTTATTTTTCTTTGACAGTTTGCTCTTGGTAGCTGGGGGGACAGTTCTAAAAATCTGTGATTTTGGTACAGCCTGTGATATTCAAACACACATGACCAACAATAAGGGAAGTGCTGCTTGGATGGCACCTGAAGTTTTTGAAGGTAACAATAATTTACAGTGTCAGTATTGCGTGTTCTTTCTAGGGATGCAACTGTGAATGAATTTGGTATAGGAAAAAGAGCATCATGTAATCTTACTGTATTACAATCGGTGTACTAAAGTTTGAGGTAACAGCTGAAAGAGTCTTGGTAAAATCTAACTTTTATTTAAAAATCTGTATGATTGTATATTGCCAAATAATTATGCAGAGTTTCAAAAAGCAGCACTGAATTGATTCCGTTATGTTAGTATTACCTAATTACATGAAGATGTGTAACCTTTGTGTCATTGCTGAGATTTACAGGAAAATTACCTTTAGACAGCTGCTCTTTCTTATTTTATGAGCAAGTAAAGATGTAAAACAGAGCTAGAGGGCTATTTGCCCAGGATTATGCTGTTTCCAAAATTCTTAAGTCATTTCCAACTCTTCTGACTTTTTAAATACACTGTCATTACTTTCACTCCCTATTCTGATCAGCTTTTATCTTCAGAATTTCCCTGAAGTGTCTCTAAATTGAACATAATTGCCCTCATTTTCAATCCCCCACTTTCTTGTAACTCCATCTTCAGCTGCTTTTTGTGTAATCTAGAGATTTGATGTACTTCCTCTTTCCTGCATACTGAGGAACTTGTTATTAACAGTTAATTTTGTTAAGTAGGAAAACAAGCTATTTCTTGGAGTGTAGCTGGGGAGGACTGATGACACTTGATAATTAGCTAAGCATAATTGCTCCATCATTATCAGAGAAGTAATCCAGTCAATATTAGATTGCAAATTAAACACCTTTTAGCCAGTCAGTACCTTAAATTATCATTGTGATTAGCAGAGTGGTCTGGAGGAGTCATCTTCCCACTTTAGGAAGGAAGTGTCCTGGTTTTGATACATTTGGCAAGTGCCTATGTGCAGCAGTAGTTTTCCAGATTCTGGATCCAAGTGGCCTCTTTTCTTTTACTATCCTTATTCCAGAGAGAAGCAGCAAATTATATGTTTTTAGGAGGTGTTTCCTCCTGAACACCAGCTTTGAAGCTTTTGTTTTGAAGATGACTTTTTATCCCACATATTGCTTAGAGGACCCACCCAAGAGTGATCTGTTTCATTCTGGTGCCTAAAAATTTTCCGTTATGTCACTTTGTATTGAGGCACCTACTCTATTTAACTTTAGCTAAGAATGTTTCTTTTCTTAATATTTTTTTACAATGAAATCAAACTGTATAAACAAGAGATAATTTATTTTCTTTTAGAAATAACCAATTGGACAATCCATGTTAAAGCTAGATTTTTCTGAGTGAAAAATCTTAATCTAAACAGATTTTAAATAAGTATATTGGAGTGGGGATTTACAGTACATATCCTAATTCCTCTGGCTTATGAATTTGGCAAAGCAGAACAAAGAAATATTGTATTGTGAATTTATTGGACAGCAGCAGAAGCCTTCGGTTTACAGTTAGTTTTGTGTACTTTTATCTGAAAGCATTTACTGATAATGACACAAACTTTTATACAAGTATCAAGGAAAGAAACCAATCTAGTAGCCTCTATGATTCAGCTTGTCAAGTTACTCCTGAAACAGTCATTAAACTACTAAAATTATCATGTCAAAATGCTTAAAAATTTGCTTATGCTACTGTATCAGAATTCAACAAAGGAATAAATATTATTTTAGTACTGTTCCAGTACTAACATTTTTAGGTGAGAACAGTAAAGGCACAAGAAGTATCTGTGGTAGATGGCAGAGCGCTCATGGAAGTAATTGACCCAATATTAAGGTTTTCCTCGCATTTTAAACATTAGGGCACCTAAAGCCTTGTACACATCAAACAACCTAAATGAAAACAGTATAAATTAAATCAGGATAAAGTGAAAGAGAACCAGTGCTCTAATCTCAGAACTCCCTTTTGAAGAAACTATTTAAAAATTGCTTTGGGATAGTTGGATAAATCGAGGAATGATTGTATGTTACACTTCCTTAGTCTGTTACATAATGAAACAATACAGAATACTCTCACTTCTTTTGGAGGCTTAGTTTTCAGGATTAGCCCAAGACTTCTCATCCACAAAATACAATTTCCTTGCTCAAACAGGAGAATAACACTACTTCCCTGTTGCAGGCTGTGTTTCACAGAAGTGCTGTGGCTGCATTGACAAGGTGGAATGTTTTGCTTCCCTTGGCAATCTCCCATTGTTAACAGATACCTTTCTTCCCAACACCTTTGAAAAAAAAGCTATCTGATAAAACTAACTTTGCTATTCCCCTTCAGTAACTTCTAAACTTGTTATCTACATCGGTGTAAAGAGTTCTGGAGACTACAAAGTTCTTAGTTTTGTAAATTTGCTATCTTGTGGAAGTCCAAATTAGTGCCTTCACTTAGAGAGGACTTGTGGTTCGTGCTGCAGCCTGTCTCTCCCGTCTGCCTTGCAAGCTGGCTGGTCTGCAAGAACTGGCCTGAAAACATGCAGCATTCCTTGCACGATTTGTCAGAGGTGTGGGAGCAGAGGAAGATGGCTCACAGGTAGAGTGGAGCCTGTTGCAACTGAATGTTGTGCAGTGGGTATCCACATGAAAGCTAGGTTTGAATTCCACTGTTTATGAAATGATTTGACTCGATGCTTTCTGATTATGTATTAACAAAAAAATCTCTTGGCCACTCAATGCCAGTTTTGATCCTTGTTTGAAGACAGTTGAGCAAATCTCATTTATATTCACACATTTATGATTATGTCATTAACTTTTCACATTTCTTTTTAGTATTTGCATGAGTTCTGATTACAGAGCATACCTTCTTTCTTTGCAGTCTCTAAACATTTTTATTCATTATTCTGTATCACCTACATGTCTTCTGCATGTTTAACAGGAGTCTTAGAAATATTGAACTTACGGTCCAAGAACTTCAGTTAAGTAATGACCTGACAAAAAGAGTAAGAATAAACAGGGAGGAAATAAGATGGTGAAGAACTGAGGAATCTGCTGGTTTGTTCATATGGTAACTTACTAGTTCTGCTAAAGACCTGGAATTAATAGAGCAACAGATGTGACAGAGATGCTACTGGCTGCATATTGTAACTAACATGGAAGAAGTGAGTTGAAGAATAATATTTAAAGGAAGCCAGCATAGCCAGTTATATTCTCAATGCAAGGGATATTTAAAACTTAATAAATTGCATATTATATTATATAAGAAAACTGATGCATTTTATAATTTCAGGACAACTCCCAAGTGAAAAGAACTGATTTCCAGAGAGGCATTCTTAACAATCCTTCTGTCAAATGATTTCAGACTTAAGTTAGCTTGAATCAGACAGCTTTTGAAAACTGTTTTTTCTCAGCAAAACAAATGTGAAGTGAAAGGAAGCATACAGAGCTATTTATCAGTTCAAACTGTACTTCTTTTTAATATGTTATATGGAAGAGAGACAAATTATATTGATGGCTTTCTTCCAGGTAGCAATTACAGTGAAAAATGTGACGTTTTCAGTTGGGGTATTATTCTCTGGGAGGTAATCACCCGTAGGAAACCTTTTGATGAGATTGGTGGCCCAGCTTTCCGCATAATGTGGGCAGTTCACAATGGTGAGTTGAAAATACTTCATTGCATTTGAAGTTGTATGTTTGACCTATAAATTTTCCAAACACTCTTAACTCTGCAGCTTTAAATTACTAGTTTTTCCATTCTATACGTCATTAAATATAAATTTTTGTCATAAAGACTTAATAGTCAGACACTGCCACTTTCATGTCAGTGTGGGTTTTGTATTAAAAATGTTACTTTGTTTTTCATAAGTTTTGGGTTTTGTTGTTTGTTGTTCTGCTGTTTGAATTGTTTTACCTTTATATCTAGGTACCTGCAGTCACGGAGCAGGAGTCTACTGTGCTAGGTACTATACGGAACAGATTCTCAGGAGTTCAGAAAATAAACATGAGACAATGGTTGGATTCAAATGGACAAAAGAAAGCAGCTACAACGTTAGTCAGAATAATAGACTGTAGTATCCTCATGCTAGAGGTGTAACTTTTTTAGCAGTGTGTTTTTAGGTACCATGGCAAAGCAGAGTTTTAAGAAGAATAAAGTAATTATAGTGAAGTAGTTCAGTGAATGTCTGCAAAGAGATTGTGCCATTTGTGAAAGACAAGATCAAAGAAAGCATGAACTTGTTTGGAGGAGATAATTAACAAACAAGCAATGAAGGCCGGTACTCTGCCTGAGTGTCATTGCTTCAGTACTAAATGATAGAAGCTTAAGGTGAGCACAGGCATCCCATTCAATGAAGAACAGAAAGGGGCAGACAGTAATGAACATTATAGTCATAATAATGCACAAAGTTAGATGTTTGCAAATGGCATTTTTGAATGAAGAAAGGGATTCTCCAGTTTTCAAGGGCACAAGTTGTTGACAATTAGGAGTGATGAGTGCGGTGCATAAAAGCATTAACTGTAAAATTAAGCATAAATGTAATAGTCATAAATCAGAAAGCCTTGGTAAGTTGTGGGAGTATCCTTTAGAGGAAAACAAATTCCATACCTGTCCCTACTTTTACTTTTTAAATTTCTCTGGTTTTTTTTTTCCTTTTTCTCTCTCTCTCCCCCTCCCCTCCTTCTTAGGAAGGAAGTGTTAGTGCACTTCATCTCACTTGAAACCATTGTGGCACTCTTACTTCATTTATTACTTGTTACACTTAATACATTTTTTAAATACTTGCTGTTTTCTATGCAAAATGTCACTTCATCTCATGTATTAAACACAACTGGATGTCAATTAATTATCGTTGAAATAGTAAAAAGAGTAGAAACTTGAATCAAAAAAACAGATGAGTAGTTATACAACAGTTGAAGTAAAATACATAATTGAAAATGTGTAGAGGCCATGAAAAGGTCACCTGAAATTGGTACTTCTGGTGCTTAGTAATTTTTCAAGAAGTTCTTAGGAGTAAAATCAGCCCTCAAAAATGCTTTTTCCCTTTTTTTTTTTCATGCTTTTTCCCTTTCTCCTGTTCTTTCTCCTTCCCTTTTTTTTTTTTTCTTGTGAGTACAGCATTAGGAACAAAAGACTGTAAGTCCTTTCTTCCTGGTTTGGTCTAGAGCTTTATTTTTCAGAAAATGGTAATATATTCATTAGCCATTTTAATTTATTGTGTTTGGTCATTCAGGGGATTTATTCAAATCACTACTGAAGGAAAAGTTTACTTTTCTTTCTACTTGTTTGTATGTAACTTTTATGTTTGTTATGTATGTTTGCAACTTTTATGTAGTGCAAAGGAACATTCTTGGTCAGTTTTTTGTTTGTAAGAGAAAATTAATTACAGGCCAGTTCTTTCAGACTACAATTAACTATACATTTTCCTGTATTTATTTAGCAAAATACTGGAGAGGTATCAGTTGCTGTCAGTCATCTTACAGTCTGTTTAACAAATTAAGGGTTTTTTCTAATTTCAATTATAGGTACTCGGCCACCACTGATCAAAAACTTACCTAAACCAATTGAGAGTTTAATGACCCGTTGTTGGTCCAAGGATCCCTCACAACGACCATCCATGGAGGAAATTGTTAAAATAATGACACACTTGATGCGGGTATAAAAATTTTAGTATCTTAATTTCTTAACCTACTAAGTTGGGAAACTGAATTAAAAATTTTTTTAATTAAAAAAATTAAAAAGCTATGCCTTTTATCACACTCTAAAGGGGGGCTTACTTGTTTTCTCTCTTTTTGATAAATATCAAATTATTAGAGTAGAAAAGGGAAATCATTCCTGTCCTTATGGGAGAGGTCTACTAACTCATAACAGATTTGGGGAAATTAATAAAAATAGTCAGAGATGTATTTTAATGTATTACTAAAAATGATTGCATTTATTTCTCTTTTAAATAAACTATTATAAACATAATAGATAACTTATACTTAAATTATTTTGTGATATTATTTAAATAATTTTAAAACAATTGTTAGTTACTTTTTTTATCAAATCATTGTTGGTTTTTCCAGTACTTTCCAGGAGCTGATGAACCTCTGCAGTATCCTTGCCAGTATTCAGATGAAGGCCAAAGCAACTCTGCCACTAGTACAGGTACACTGTATAAATAAGAGAAAAGAACAGCAACATGAAATTATGCAGATATGTTACAAACACATTCCCATATTGATTTTGAACTCAAACTGGGAAAGGTAGCTTTTCCAAAATCATAAGCATTGGCAGGAATCTATGTTAAGACCCCATACCACATGATATTTAGTGTTCTCAACCAAATGCTTTTGATGAAATGTACCTTTAATGGAGAATAAACATAAAATAAAAGCTGTCTCCAAATGTCCAGGGTTAAGGTCTCCTCCTTTTTTCCCTATGAAGGTTGCTAGCAA